AAGATGTTTTTATTTCGGTGCTTTTTTTTTTTTTTACCAGGGGGCCAAAAGATGGAGCACAAAAAATAGATTTGAATAACAAAGGAAACTAGATTTTAAGCACACCACAAAGACGTTTCTGCAGCACTGCTATGAACGATGCCACATCTGACGGGGGGATAGATTACTGTGTCATGAGGCTTTGAGAGTATGCAGATTTTCTTACAGCAAAGGACTGGTTACGTTCTCTTCTCTCTAACGAAAGTATGTTAATCAGTGAATTCAGTAGTGTTAGTTTGTGACAGCGACGAAACTCTGCAGACTCTTGGTGTCCCATAACCATACAGCTTTAAAAGAAAATCTAACGGTTAACGCATTTGCTGTGAGATCTACCAACCTACCATGAATATAAAAAAAGAATAACTACTTACTATCCAGGACAAAATTAGAACAAAAATGTCACACATTCACAGAGTTACACTCCTCGTTACAGACACAGCTTTCAACATCCTACTCACTTTTGTCTGTCAGCGGTGGATGAGGTTGGGTGGAAGAGAATAAATGAAGAAGATGATAAGATGTGAAGAAGATTAGATAATTAGATAAAATTAATAAAAAAAAAAAAACATAAAATGGTCAGAGTTGTGAAAGATAAGAGCTCCAGGCAGTTTTAGAGAAACTTCATTTAGAATAATCTACAACAGAACTAAAAGACTGGATTATTCCCCCCCCCCCCCACCTTTTTTAAAATAAATGAGACCAAGATCAAGATAGGAGATCTTCAGAACTTAATACATCATTGTTAATCAATCTTTGCCTAATTAATACCATTCTAAGTGCCAAAAAGAAAGCCTAACCATCCAATCTATCTAATGCTCACTGGCTACTGACTTGAGATTGACAAGGCAGCAGCCAATGATCATGCAGTTAACAGTCCTCTCATTATCACCAACATCATCATATCCAATTTCAGATTGTGACAGACAATTTGCTGATCTCGAAGCTTTACAGCTGGCCTTCAGAAACCAATGAGTGATGTCATTGTAGCGTAGTCTATCTTCTATACTTCCTATGGCTGGAACCAGCACGCTTTAAAAGGCGGAACATTTTCTTGGAAGGCTTGTTAGTTTCAGCAAACAGCGTGGCGTGCAACCACTCAGCTACTGGACAGGGAATACACTTTTTCCCCCGGTGCCTGGAGGTTTCCAGGTGGTCACTGGTTTATAGGCCTGTGTGACAGAGGCTTTATGAAGGAATAATTTGGTCAGTGTCTATAAAACATGGTAGCAGATCAGAGACAAGTAGGGGAACACTGGGATGCTGTTTTTTCTTTTTGTTTTTTTAATATATCCATTTATTATATAACTTTTCTGCCCTGGTTGTGCTGCTGTTGAGTGTTAATGCAGTCTTCCTTGTTTTTATGGCATTCATTTACCTTTAATAAATACTTTACTATTATACATTAAGGTATTTACTATATACTAAGATTTGACAGCTGCTTCAGGAATGGGGGCTGCAAAAAAACACCTTAAACACATTTTAGTGCTCGTCTAAGATGTACTGAAGCATTTCATTTAAAACTTTTATTTTGATGTTTTGATTAAAAAAATGTAAATAATTTACTGCTAATTTCTTTAGTTATTGCTATGTACATAAAATCATAGGGTATTATTCTGTAATTTAATTTCTTGGCTGAAATTAAGCTCTTCTCTGCTACCTAATGGCCAAGCACCATTAAAGAAAAGAGAAAAAAAAGTCCTGTATCGCCATGGATACAAGGGGACATTATGCAAATATACATATTTGAACAAATCTGGACTTATTCTACAGATCTGGTTATGTAGCCAGCCCAAGAGATGAAATATGCTGTATCACTTAATAATGTGACTATTAATTTAACATTTAAAAAACATGCTTCATTTAATGTGCTGCTAATAATAAGTTAAGAACACCTAATTTTTCACAGGTAATTGAAAACAGACATTAAAAACTAAGTCTGTCAAGAGAACAGCCAAAGATAATTACATTTAAAAAAGCCTTGAAAATCAGTCTACTGAGCAGTTTGATAATGGGCTTTAATTATAAATGTGCAAACTTTTGCACTTTGCCGGGTTTTATGGTTTTTAGAGATTCAGTGCCTGCAAGAAGGCAGAGATGCAGATACAGTAGTATAGATGTGGAAGTATTAGGGAAGAAATCCTAGTAAACACACATACACGCACAAATACAGGAAGATCCCACTTGAGTTAAACACGAGCTGCAGTTTATCAATAGAAATAATTATCGCCCGGGGCAGTCTTTATAAATTAAGGGACGCATTTATTTCAATTATCTCACATCCAAGTTCATTTCAGCACACGTTTTTCAGGGAATCGCTTGGGCTTTAATCATCTCACATCCACACACACACACACGCACACAATGACAAACACACATACAGTTGGAAATCCCTTGTTGTCATTAGCAGATAGTTTCTGCTATCTTGCATATGAATTGCTCTCATGTTAATGGGAGTGGGGAGGCATATCAAGGACAGGCAGGAAACCAGTGATGCATGTAATGCTGATAAGAATTCCTCTCAACTTCTCCTTAACGCTCCAGTAAGGAATTGTAAATGAACTATCTGTGTGCCTTCAGTGTATGTGTGCATGAGCAAGTCAGAAAACTTTTAGATAAAAGTTAATATGGTGTCTGTACGTACAGCTCTTATTAGAAACTTGTTTAACCAAGTCAGATGTATCAAACTAGTAACAACTGGGAATACATTAAGCACAGTCTGGTATAAAACCGACAGAAATAAGGGACCTTTTAAGGCCACACGGAGTAAATGAGCAATAAAACCTTTTAGTTTTATTGCTCATCTAGTGAGTCGAGCTAGAGGACAAAATTAATAAAAAGTTAAGTAATTTCACAATAATTACCTAAAAGCCTATTTGTATTGCTTCAGTTTACTGTCAACGGTTCATTACCACATGATTAAACAAATAAATTGGTTGCAAAGCAAATGCAATCAAAAACAATCCGGCATGAAGGCGAGTGAGGAAAACGATTGTTTTTAAATTTGACTGACCTAATATACACTACTTGCATTTAGCACTCAAAGCACTTTAGACCGCAAGACACATTTTTAATCAAACATTCACAAGGTGCTTTATCCCATATATTAAAAAAAAAATCAACTTCGCATTCATTAGCCATTTTGCTGCACCAGTTAACCTAAAAATGCATGTCTCTGGACTGTGGGTGGAAAAGAGCACCCAGAGGAAGCCCACGCAGGCACGGGGACCATCCAAACTCCAAACACAAAGCCCCAGATGGAGTTTCAACCAGCAAAATTCTTGCTGTGAGGTGACGGTGTTACCAAATGGACCATCCAAAAAGTGTGGTTTGACATTTCTAAAAATGTGTCATTAACCGCTTCCCTCCTGTTCTGGGTCCGGAGTGGTGCCATTTTTCAAAGGTTACCCATCATGGGACATTCAGTGAGAAGGCCGCCTACAACCATCATGACTAAAACAGATGCAGGATCTGTTGGGCGTTATTTGTGTTGCATTAGATTTTAGAACAGGTTCAGTGTCACTGACTCATTATCTTATTTTTTTTTTAATGCTGATAATTTTGTGTTATGTGACAGTAAAGTTGTCAACATCTGATGGAAGCACAAGGACACCTCAGCTTATTTCTTTAACATTTTTTACTTTGACCTTAATGTTTTGTAGTTGTTACTAAACCGAATTTGAAGTTTTAGGTTTGTATAGTTTGTCATGTGAATAGAATCAGTTGCCCCTGAAGTGACTGCTGCTGTAAGGCCAGATTGGCTGACATTCAGTTTTTTTTTTTAAAGAGAGGACATTAGTATGCATTACAATATGTAAGAAAGAGCAGAGAGTGATTTTCAGAGTTTATCTCTGACTGTTAACACATTCAAAACTCAGACCTTTGTTTGGTGTTAGTTTGATGCGGGGTTGCAAGGTCTGCTTGATTAATCTAAGACTGTGTCATCTGCTTGGGTCAGTTTCTCTGGCCAGTGGAAAATGTGAAATAAAGCAAAGGCCATGTCCCCCGCCTCCCCACAGATTAAAAAAAAGACTACTTTCACAAAAGCCCAAAGATATTTTAACTCGGCATATAAATCCTTGAAAAGTCTCTCGGCTTAGGAGTGATTTGGGAAAGTTCAACAAAGCAACTCAAGTGTGATGATAAAACAGTGAGTTCTATTCCAGTGAAAATGCTAAAAGAAATCTCACCATGCTTTATTCAAACTACAACATTTACTACATTTTTGTATGTTTTGCTTAGTACTAAAAAACACCCAGTAACCAGACTTGTAGTTAGAGCAGCAAGCTTCCCAACAATCTGATGCAGACTGCTTTTTGTGTCAGCACAGCCTTCTTAGCATTTATTAGCTGGACATAAGACTGGCTCAAGGCTTTCTCCAATTAGTCTGATTGCAAATCTTTGCTGCCAAGTTTTTAAATATGGTTGTTCAACAAGTCTGTCAGTCATGATGATATGTGCTGATTAAGGATCAAGAACCAACACAGTCAACTTTCCCAATAATGGGTGCAAGGTTCACTTATAAGAAGCACTCAGTAATAAAATATAGTGATGTTATAGTTTGTGTAACCACGCTCCGAGTTCTGCATTTTGATTTGTTATAGAAGCATGTCCAGGTGGCGATCGCTTTCCTGTCAACACTGTTTGATATGTGGTATATTTATATAGAATGTGCAAGGTTTTGTGTATACTCTCCCACCATGAAGCCTTAGTAGTTTAATAGAACCAAACTGGGATAATATTTAAATTGCAACTTTTATTCTGTTGGGAATCAAGAGTGCATGTTGAACTGCAGGAGCATGGTTCACAGCAATATTGAAAATGTGTTAAAATGGTCTGACTGCACCACAAAGCTCCCAAAGCGCCCACACTGCCAAAGTCTGAAGTTTAACAGCCGTCAAAATGTGAGCTAACGACTGTGCTTTGGCTCATCGGTTTAAATGCCACTTTCACACATCACTTACATGGCGTTGTCACCCAGCTCTTCATACAGGTTGTTGGCAGTGCCTCCCCCAGGTTTGCCTGTTGGCAGTGCCATCTGGATGCGGGCTGTTTTGGCACACTCTGCTTGACGCCTGGACAGAGCAGAGAGGAAATGCAGAGTTAGTTATCTAAAGTCAGAGCAAAGCCATTTGAACCAACCTTTGAAAACAGTGATGTAGGCATAATCAAGCACGAAGGCTCTAACTTTCTACTTTCTCTAAAATGTCTCCTCTGTGTTCTATCAACACCTTGTTATTAACAAAAAATTCATTTCACTATCCAGTGTCCGCTGTAGAGGAAACATCAGTCTGTTCTGCACTTTAGTTCTGACTAAACAATCCCAACTGAGGAAATGATTTCTGTCACATTTTCCACAGAGATTCATTAGTCCATGGGGATTAAGATGTCTGAATGTGGTAACCTCTGACCTTTTCATTACTACCACAGTGAGGCTGACATTTCTGGCCTCGTATTTACATTTTCCATGAGGATGCACTGTCATGACACTGGTGATCCCTTAAGATTTCCCTGCAGCGATCTGTCTAAGAATATATAAGCCTTGGCTGCAATTAGGAAATATCAGCATAACAAAATGCTAAAAAAAACAAACCACAAATGCAAAAGACAGCTGTGTAACACTGTATTGGAGCATGCTGCTATTGTAGTATTTTCAGATTCAGTCTTGCAGATACTGTAGCACTCTTATAATGCACTGCCAGGCTAAAAAACAATAAAAAATCACCACCTGGATAAATAAGCAAATAGGTAAAAGCCTTCTGTTGGATAATTACCACAGTGATTAATAAGTGTTGGCTTGCAATATAATATTTAATCCTAATTAATGCAGTAAATAGCTTCTTATTGCAAACTCTGGATGGAAATAAGGTTACTGCAACAATGCCACAGTGAAAATGTCCAAAGAAATAGGAGTCTGCAAGTGCTTTTTGTGGCAGGGTAGTTTTGTTTCTCCACCCAGTAACAACAAACCTCTATTTCTTGTTGAGGTGCAGCATGTTAAAGTCCCAAACTACTCAAGTTTTAATGCATGGCATCATAAAACACGGGGGAATGCAGACGCGAGTGGTGAGAACTCAAAGTAAGTACACTGACTGAGTAATACGAATCACACAGCATAATGCAGTAAATGTTTGCTAACATCAGACGCTGCAACAATATGCTGAAATGACTGCTTAAAGTTTTATATCCTCACTTCAAATAAAAACGTAGGAGTGCTACTGTTATCCACTCTACATAATCCTGATATGCACTACTACTTGACGCACAAATGAAAACACACACACTCTAATAAAAGCATCTGCTCTGGACATTTATGCTCCATGTTCTTCAGGATTCATTTGTTTGATAGTCTGCTGTCCTCTCCGTTTCATAGCTCTTTCTGATCTCATCCATCTTATTGTACAATGAAAGTCAACAGATTAATCAAAGTGAAAGGTGTTTAAGACAGCCATGACATTAATATTTTATCTTGGGAAAATAAAAGCGGTACTCACTCTTTGAATCTGGTGGCGACAGATGCGGCAGATGAGAGAGAGAAAGATTAGTTATTATTTGAGCCATTAATCACAGTTCTTCTTGTTAGCCAAGTTTACTTACTGCAATTTACAAGCGAAGTTGGACAATTGGTCTTCATTAAAGTAATTTAGCAAAAGATACTAGTGATTATCATGCTGATGATTGCTTTTATGTTTTTTCTGTCTTCATATTCCCTCTTGTTGTCTGTTATTTGTCTCTGTTTCTCAGCAGGATAAAAGGCTCTTTCCAAAATGCACTGATTTAATTCAGATGTGTGTGTATGTGTGAAATGGTTCACGCGTGTTTGGGAGATGGATAAAATTAATAGCCTTTCACTGTGGTTAGCTAAACAAACTATTAGAATTGGCACTCTGGGGGCAGTCTGCCATGCTGAATAGTCTGGGGAACTGACTGGCCCAGGTGATGATAAACAGTGGAAAAAGAGCGACTGTCAGTTCTGCTTGACTGCCTACATGCTCTTGAAAGAAATTGATAAGTCTTCTATATGGCTTGTTATCTTTTCTACACTAGAAGTCAAATCCTCCGTTCATACTGATTAGTTTTGAGCACCTAAATGCATGCATTATAAATTTGTTGAGCCAAATTTATGCTGATGATTTAACTTCATGCACACGTTTTCCAGCTACTGACATAATTGTGCTTGAAGTGAAAATGTCAGCATCAGACATGCATTACAAAGAGCTTCAAAAGACTTTGAACCACTCCTCATTTGTTGATATTTTGCTAAAAAAAAAAAAGGGAAATCGATGCAGTAATTTATGTATTTTAACATGTGCCTATATATGAATATCTATATATACAGTATATAAGACAAAGGCAGGGTTTGTACAACTCTAACAAGCTTAAAAATCAATATCTGGTATTCTTCAACGCAGCTTGAATTCTCTTAAGTGTTTTTAATTGAGCCATTAGTTTAAATAGAGTTACCTCTCATTTCTTTACAATTCTAATAAGCTTGTTAGTGACTCTTGGATAAGACCACTTTTATTCTTCAGCACAGTCTGAACTCTCTCATCCAGCTTTCTTGTCATTTCTTTAAGTAGTCTTCAGGAATATTTCTCCAGGCTTCTCGAAGCTGTTCTGTCAAGATGACCCCACACTGCTTCAGTAATGTTGAGATCTGGGCTCTGGTATGGTATCTGGTATGCTTTTACTGCACTAATAGTGGTTTTGAGATCATGGTCATCCAAAATACAGCTCATGCCAATCAGTTTTGATAAGCTCTTCAATATCACTGTGGCGTGGGTGTGGTTTCTGGCCGGCTGCAGCAGAGGGGTGACGCAGTGAGCTCCCGGGGCGGCGCAGGGGCGGGGTGAACAGGTGTGCTGGGATGTGAACGTGATTGTGACTCTTTATATGTTCACAGTGACAGTTGGAGAGAGAGGAGAGCGGACGTGACAGCAGAGCGGGAGTGTCTGTGTCCCAGTAAACAAAATCACAGCAAAACCAAACGAGCAAATAAAGAAGTGCTGTCATCACGTCCGTGTTCTGTACATGTGTAACGGGTCCAACGTCACAACCACTTACTGAAATACAGACCATGATAGAGCCTCAGCTGTGTTTTACAGTCCCTCTTTAGACTGTAGACACTGGTAACAAAAGAAAAACTTCAAATTTGGATTTATCACTCTATAAGACCTGTTATTATTGAGTTTCAGTCCAGTTCTTATGGACTTTTTCTCACTGTTTCCCTTCCTTGAGATAATTTCTGATGGATTTCGGGTGATGATGGACCAACTGATCTATCAGGTCCTGTGTCTGGACTTTTGGGGATTTTTATATTTCACAAAGACTTGGCTTTTTAGATATTGCTAATCTTCTTTAGGTCTTCTTTGTTCTATAATTAATTTTCTAAAAATGTACAGAAACTGAACTGCAAATGAGTTAAAAAGCCAAGGAAAAACTTCAAACTTGACTAATACACATTTTCACCAAGGAACTAAAACTGAATCCCAATCAAGTGAACCCCCCCC